ACACACACACACACACACACACACACACACACACAGCAAGCCCCACACAGATGAAACACACATGTGCACACGCAGAACACATTTATGTTGGGGGAGGGGCTTGAAGTTGGAGGGCTTAAACCTTCTGTCAGTTATTAAAAAGTTATAAAAGGTGATTGAATATTTGCAGTATTTTAGTTTGCAACTGCGACACTTAGTTCATATTACATGGCCAAGAAATTCACTAAATTAGGTAAAAATACGCCAAGATGAGTCCTGTATCCAAGTGGCCAAAGCCGCACGCATGAAAACGAACTCGCACACCTTAAGCCGCGGCAGAAGCGGCGCTGCGGCGAGTCCCTCTCTGCCTTGACCTTGACCCCAGCTGACACCAAACTCATGGCTGAGCGGGACCCTGACACCTTGCAGTTGGAAAGCCAGCGATCTTTTCTGCTAAATTACGTAGGTTATCTTCGTGTTTTCCTTTTCGACGAGGACTGCTGTGTTACGATTTCTGTCTCTGAATATAATTAAAGGAATAAGCATTACATAACTTTTGTTTCAGATTCCATGTGTCGTTGTAGCGTTGTAATGTGCACCTGTGTTCATATGTCATGTTCCTATGACTGAATATATTTTCAGGTTATTTGTTCAGAGTTGGCTCCATATCTGATGATTATAGCTGTATTGCGTTTGTCTTGTTACTAATAAAACTTTTCCATTCTCGTAATATTTTCACAACTGACCAGTAAGATCTTTGATTTATGAATGAATTCTTCTTACGCTGTTTACTATGACTGAGCTGCCAGGGTCACCCTCAGGCAGATTATTGATTTATGATATGCCTACATAGTTATATATATCATACGCGTTCATATTCCTTTGTTTCATTAATACAAATTTTATATAGCATTGTGTACACCATTGTGTGAATATTTTAACTTTTTCCATCTTTTATCCCATCCTTAGCCATCCTTTCTCTCTATCTCCGTCCTCTGCGTTTTTGTTAACATTTCTATATTTTGGCATCAGCGATGTCTCCTCACTGGGAATCCTATCACTCCTTGGACCAGGAATGCCTCACAAAAGGTCAGTCGTGATAGAAACATGCGCATAAATCGTTTTCTTTTATTCTTATTCGCACATAAATAGGAATAAATACGGACATTCCTCGCCAGAAGCCAAGAGTCCTTCGGCAGAGATTCCTTCCCGCAGAGCGCCCAACTGCGCGCCAAGGGACGCCGCCCCTGGCCTCCGCCCGAGCTCTCAGTCGTCGCGCTCGCAGATGATGGACTTCTCGTGGTGGCAGGCGATGTCGTGCCACCTGACGCCGTCGTCGTAGAAGTCGTTGAGGACGGCCACGCAGTTCTCGCCCCCTTGCTCGCGGTTGTCCGGTTGCGGTTGCTTCTTCCTGCCGGCGAGAAGAAGAGGAATTAGAAGAGTTGAGAAAATGGAGAGTTCTTCCTTGCTGGTAAGGGAAAAGAAAGCTATAAACGATTAAATGGGTATTCACGCAAACGGGGGGGAGGAGGAGAGAGGACAGGGGAAGGAGAGGAGGAGGACAAGGGAGGTGGAAGGGAGGAAGGGGAAAGAGACAGGAGGAAGGGAGGAGGACAGGGGGAAAGGGCAGACCGCGCGACAAGCGAAAGGACCGTGCACATACCCGCCGGTGTGAGACCAGTTCAGACCCACGAAACGGGCTCCTGAAGGCCACACGAAGTCGCGTCCCCTGCGTTGGCCTCCGGTCCAGACCCACGGCAGCTCGTCTGAGAGGAAAGCCAAAGTTGCTAATTATTCATTGGACTCTTAGGAGTTATACAAAGACACATTATACATAAACAATTGAAGCAAGTTTGTGAATTCCGTGTGGGTGTGAGCATGTGTTCATACATGTACGTGTATGTGACAAAAACGCATGGAAATTACGGTCTTCGATCACGTCGGTGACGAAGTCGTTCTCCTCCCTGGTCTCGATGCTGATGCCCTTCCAGCCGCGGCCGAGGCTCGAGCAGTAGCTGTTGGCGCCCTGCCAGTCGTAGGTCCGGCCGCCGTCGTGGAGCCAGGCGAAGTGGTACTCGCTGTCGCCCCGGTCCTCGTCCACCTGCAATGTTCAAGGTACTGACGAAGGTGTGTGGCAGATGTGATGTAGAATAAGCTTGCGTTTCTTTCTTATTCCTGGTTTGATAGAATTCCCCACAATAGAATAGCTTTGCAAAAACAGAAATTTACATTTTTCACACCAAGAACCACCAAGTTCCTTATTGAAACTGGCCCCTGTCTGAAGCATTTCCTTATTGAAATTAGTCTCTTTAATGAGCCATTTGTGTTGCAACTCACCACGTCGTCTCCCAGGGCCACAGCCACCACAGTTAGGAACAGAAGGACCTTCATCTGAAACGGAGAAGCGATAAAACCTCAGAAAGGCGTATTTGGGAGTCTCGTTAAATACATACTACGATATTAATACTGCGTGTCCTCTGCTGCACTGAAATATCGCAAAGCATTCTCCTCCCCAAAAGCATGAATATACTAGAAGATGCATGATTTCTGATATTTATATTTCTTATGTTTCAACCTTTATGCCATGGACCGTTTACCGAAAAAAAACACGTGTAGACTTTGAAGCCATGAAATTTTAATGAAAAAAAGTTCATTCCATGCATCATATCTGGTCAAAAGTACACAAAACAATTTTCATAACTTCGTATTCACTCTTTTGATATTTCCTTCTCTCTCACTCTCCCTTCCACTCTCTTCCCCCTCTCTTTCTCTCGTTCTTTCATCCCTCCCTCTCTCTTCCTCTTCCTTTACTCACCGTGATGAACAGTCAGACGATTGTGCTGCCCGTACCACAGCCTCGCCTTTTATACCCACGAGCAGCAAGGCATTTCCTAACTGATGAGCAAGTTTACCTCCTCTCCCTTTCCCCTCCTCTTCTTTTTCCTTCTTTTCCTCCGTAAGTAGGTCATTAATATCCCTGGCCAGATCTCTCCAGTGTGAGGAAGACTGGAGTATAATGGGATGTCAGGAGTTCTCTCTCTCTTCTCTCTCTCTCTCTCTCTCTCTCTCTCTCTCTCTCTCTCTCTCTCTCTAAAAGGAAAAGGAAAACAGATAATCAAGATATGATTTTTTAATGGAAAAGTCTTTAAATCATTGTAGACGATTTATGTAAAGTGGGACTTCATTTGATGAACAATGGAGCTAAAAACATATTAGATATATATATATATATATATATATATATATATATATATATATATATATATATATATATATATATATGCACACACACGCACACACACAGGCAGCCCCTCACACAGATGCAAACGCACATGTTTATAGCACGCAGAAACACATTTATGTTGGGGGAGGGGCTTGAAGTTGAGGGCTTAATTCCTTCTGTCAGTTATTAAAAAGTTATGAAAGGTGATGGAATATTTGCAGTATTTAGTTCGCAACTGCGACACTTAGCTCATATTACATGGCCAAGAAATTCACTAAATTAGGTAAAAATACGCCAAGATGAGTCCTGTATCCAAGTGGCCAAAGCCGCACGCATGAAAACGAACTCGCACACCTTTAAGCCGCGGCAGAAGCGGCGCTGCGGCGAGTCCCTCTCTGCCTTGACCTTGACCCCAGCTGACACCAGTACTCATGGGTGAGCGGGACCCTGACACCTTGCAGTTGGAAAGCCAGCGATCTTTTTCTGCTAAATTACGTAGGTTATCTTCGTTTTTCCTTTTCGACGAGGACTGCTGTGTTACGATTTCTGTCTCTGAATATAGTTAAAGGAATAAGCATTACATAACTTTTGTTTCAGATTCCATGTGTCTTTGTAACGTTGTAATGTGCACCTGTGTTCATATGTCATGTTCCTATGACTGAATATATTTTACAGGTTATTTGTTCAGAGTTGGTTCCATATCTGATGATTATAGCTTGTAGAGGTACTAAAGTATTGCGTTTGTCTTGTTACTAATAAAACTTTTCCATTCTCTTAATATTTTCACAACTGACCAGTAACATCTTTGATTTATGAATGAATGCTTACGCTGTTTACTATGACTGAGCTGCCAGGTCACCCAGGCAGATTATTGATTTTATGATATGCCTACACAGTTATATATATTCATACGTGTACATGTCCTTTGTTTCATTAATACAGATTGATAATAGCAGTGTGTACACCATTGTGTGAATATTTGAACTTTTTCCATCTTTCATCCAAATCCTTAGCCATCCTTTCTTTCTCTCTCCGTCTCTCTGTGCATTTGTTAACATTTCTATATTTTGGCATCAGCGATGTCTCCCTCACTGGGAATCCTATCACTCCTTGGACCAGGAATGCCTCACAAAAGGTCAGTCGTGATAGAAACATGCGCATAAATCGTTTTCTTTTATTCTTATTCGCACATAAATAGGAATAAATACGGACATTCCTCGCCAGAAGCCAAGAGTCCTTCGGCAGAGATTCCTTCCCGCAGAGCGCCCAACTGCGCGCCAAGGGACGCCGCCCCTGGCCTCCGCCCGAGCTCTCAGTCGTCGCGCTCGCAGATGATGGACTTCTCGTGGTGGCAGGCGATGTCGTGCCACCTGACGCCGTCGTCGTAGAAGTCGTTGAGGACGGCCACGCAGTTCTCGCCCCCTTGCTCGCGGTTGTCCGGTTGCGGTTGCTTCTTCCTGCCGGCGAGAAGAAGAGGAATTAGAAGAGTTGAGAAAATGGATAGTTCTTCCTTGCTGGTAAGGGAAAAGAAAGCTATAAACGATTAAATAGGTATTCACGCAAACGGGGGAGGGGAGAGAGGAGGAAGAGGAGGAGGACAAGGGAGTGGAAGGGAGGAAGGGGAAAGAGGACAGGAGGAAGGGAGAGACAGGGGGGGAAAGGGCAGACCGCGCGACAAGCGAAAGGACCCGTGCACATACCCGCCGGTGTGAGAGACCAGTTCAGACCCACGAAACGGGCTCCTGAAGGCCACACGAAGTCGCGTCCCCTGCGTTGGCCTCCGTCCAGACCCACGGCAGCTCGTCTGAGAGGGAAGCCAAAGTCTTGCTAATTATTCATTGGGACTCTCGGGAGTTATACAAAGCCATACATTATACATAAACAATTGAAGCAAGTTTGTGAATTCCGTGTGGGTGTGACATGTGTTCATACATGTACGTGTATGTGAAAAAACGCATGGAAATTACGGTGTTCGATCACATCGGTGACGAAGTCGTTCTCTCCCTAGTCTCGATGCTGATGCCCTTCCAGCCGCGCCGAGGCTGAGCAGTAGCTGTTGGCCCGCCTGCCAGTCGTAGGTCCGGCCGCCGTCGTGGAGCCAGGCGAAAGTGGTACTCGCTGTCGCCCCGGTCCTCGTCCACCTGCAATGTTCAAGGTACTGACGAAGGTGTGTGGCAGATGTGATGTAGAATAAGCTTGCGTTTCTTTCTTATTCCTGGTTTGATAGAATTGCCGACAATAGAATAGCTTTGCAAAAACAGAAAATTTACATTTTTCACACCAAAGAACCACCAAGTTCCTTATTGAAACTGGCCCCTGTTTGAAGTGTTTCCCTATTGAAATTAGTCTCTTTAATGAGCCATTTGTGTTGCAACTCACCACGTCGTCTCCCAGGGCCACAGCCACCACAGTTAGGAACAGAAGGACCTTCATCTGAAACGGAGAAGCGATAAAACTCAGAAAGGCGTATTTGGGAGTCTCCGTTAAATACATACTACGATAGTTATTCATCACTGTGTCCTCTGTTGCGCTGAAATATCGCAAAGCATTCTCCTCCCCAACGGAAACATGAATATACTAGAAGATAATGATTTTTTTATATTTCTTATGTTTCACCTTTTTATGCCATGAACGTTTCACCGAAAAAAAAAAAAATACGTGGTAGACTGTTGAAGCCGATGAAATTTTAATGAAAAAAAGTTCATTCCATGCATCATATCTGGTCAAAAGTACACAAAACAATTTTCATAACTTCGTATTCACTCTTTTGATATTCCTTTCTCTCTCACTCTCCTTTCCACTCTCTTCCCCCTCTCTTTCTCTCGTTCTTTCATCCCTCCCTCTCTCTTCCTCTTCCTTTACTCACCGTGATGAACAGTCAGACGATTGTGCTGCCCGTACCCACAGCCTCGCCTTTTATACCCACGAGCAGCAAGGCATTTCCTAACTGATGAGCAAGTTTACCTCCTCTTCCCCCCCTCCTCTTCTTTTTCCTTCTTTTCCTCCGTAAGTAGGTCATTATATCCCTGGCCAGATCTCTCCAGTGTGAGGAAAGACTGTGGAGTAATAATGGATGTCAGGAGTCTCTCTCTCTCTCTCTCTCTCTCTCTCTCTCTCTCTCTCTTAAAGGAAAAGGAAATAACAAGATAATCAAGATATGATTTTTGAAGTCTTTAAATATTGTAGACGATTTATGTAAAGTGGACAGCACCATGAACAATGGCGCTAAAAATTAGCATATATATATATATATATATATATTATATATATATATATATATATATATATATATTATATATATATATATATATACACACACACACACACACACCACACACACACACTCACACACAGATGCAAACACACATGTACACACGCAGAAACACATTTATGTTGGGGGAGGGGCTTGAAGTTGAGGGCTTAATTCCTTCTGTCAGTTATTAAAAAGTTTATAAAAGGTGATTGAATATTTGCAGTATTTGTTCGGAACTGCGACACTTTGCTCATATTACATGGCCAAGAAATTCACTAAATTAGTAAAAATACGCCAAGATGAGTCCTGTATCCAAGTGGCCAAAGCCGCACGCATGAAAACGAACTCGCACACCTTTAAGCGCGCGGCAAAGCGGCGCTGCCGGCGAGTCCCTCTCTGCCTTGACCTTGACCCCAGCTGACACCAGTACCATGGCTGAGCGGGACCCTGACACCTTGCAGTTGGAAAGCCAGCGATCTTTTTCTGCTAAATTACGTAGGTTATCTTCGTGTTTCCTTTTCGACGAGGACTGTTGTGTTACGATTTCTGTCTCTGAATATAGTTAAAGGAAATGAGCATTACATAACTTTTTTTCAGATTCCATGTTTTTTTTTTTTTTTTTTTTTTCAGCATTGTAATGTGCACCTGTGTTCATATGTCATGTTCCTATGACTGAATATATTTTCAGGTTATTTTTCAGAGTTTGCTTCCATATCTGATGATTATAGCTTGTAGAGGTACTAAAGTATTGCGTTTTGTCTTGTTACTAATAAAATTTTCCATTCTCTTAATATTTCACAACTGACCAGTAACATCTTTGATTTATGAATGAATTTTCTACGCTGTTTACTATGACTGAGCTGCCAGGGAGGCAGATATTGATTTTATATATGCCCTACATATATATATATTCAACGTGACATAATGTCCTTGTTTCATTAAAGATCATAATTGCATTATACACCATTGTGTGATATTTGAACTTTTTCCCATCTTTTTATCCCAATCCTTAGCCATCCTTTCTTTCTCTCTCCGTCCTCGGCTGGTATTTGTTAACATTCTATATTTTGGCATCAGCGATGTCTCCCTCACTGGGAATCCTATCACTCCTTGGACCAGGAATGCCTCACAAAAGGTCACTCGTGATAGAAACATGCGCATAAATCGTTTTCTTTTATTCTTATTCGCACATAAATAGGAATAAATACGGGACATTCCTCGCCGTAAGACTAGTCCTTCGGCAGAGATTCCTTCCCGCAGAGCGCCCAACTGCGCGCCAAGGGACGCCCCCCTGGCCTCCGCCCGAGCTCTCAGTCGTCGCGCTCGCAGATGATGGACTTCTCGTGGTGGCAGGCGATGTCGTGCACCTGACGCCGTCGTCGTAGAAGTCGTTGAGGACGGCCACGCAGTTCTCGCCCCCTTGCTCGCGGTTGTCCGGTGCGGTTGCTTCTTCCTGCCGGCGAGAAGAAGAGGAATTAGAAGAGTTGAGAAATGGAGAGTTCTTCCTTGCTGGTAAGGAAAAGAAAGCTATAAAACGATTAAATGGGTATTCACGCAAACGGGGGGAGGAGGAGGAGAGGAAGGGGAAGGAGAGGAGGAGGACAAGGGAGGTGGAAGGGAGGAAGGGGAAAGAGGACAGGAGGAAGGATGGGAGGAGGACAGGGGAAAGGGCAGACCGCGCGACAAGCGAAAGGACCCGTGCACATACCCGCCGGTGTGAGACCAGTTCAGACCCACGAAACGGGCTCCTGAAGGCCACACGAAAGTCGCGTCCCCTGCGTGGCCTCCGGTCCAGACCCACGGCAGCTCGTCTGAGAGGGAAGCCAGTCTTGCTAATTATTCATTGGGACTCTTAGAAGTTATACAAAGCCATTATACATAAAACATTTGAAGCAAGTTTGTGAATTCCGTGTGGGTGTGAGCATGTGTTCATACATGTACGTGTATGTGACAAAAACGCATGGAAATTACGGTGTTTCGATCACATCGGTGACGAAGTCGTTCTCCTCCCTGGTCTCGATGCTGATGCCCTTCCAGCCGCGGCCGAGGCTCGAGCAGTAGCTGTTGGCGCCCTGCCAGTCGTAGGTCCGGCCGCCGTCGTGGAGCCAGGCGAAGTGGTACTCGCTGTCGCCCCGGTCCTCGTCCACCTGCAATGTTCGTGGCATTTGCGATGATTGTGTCGCAGGTATATTGTACATTAAGATGGCGGTTCTTTGCTTTGAAGAATTCTAGAAAATGGAATAATTCACGCTAAGGAAATGCCATTCCTGCCATGATTCTTCCTGTGGATCGCAACCACATCACGCTACAAATCATATCTCAATTGGTCTTTCACATGATCTTCCTTATTGAAACTGGCCTCTAATTAAACTGGACCCTAATTAAAACTGGTTTCTGTAATATCCCATTGGTGTTGCGACTCACCAGGTCGTCTCCCAGGGCCACCGCCGCCACAGTTAGGAGCAAAAGGACCTTCATCTGAAACGGAGAAGTGACAGAGATTCATCAGGACGTAATTGGTATTCCTGTTAATTACATTGTACGGTAATCCTAATTGTGCAACTGCTTTGTTTCGGAAGTATGGAATGAAGTGAGCGTATGACTGAAACATAATGTTTATGATACAGCTCCCCTATGTGTCCCACCATGTGCTGTAGGTATTGATAAAAGTATTGCAGACAACTAGTGATATCCTACTCTGTCAGTCAGTATGATTTAAAGTGGTTTGTTGTTGTTTTTTGCCGAAATAGCGTTAGTGATAATTTTTTTTTAAAGCTGAAGGAAATTCTGATGAATAAAGAGTTCACAGATATTCCAAATATTGAAACATTCACTGGAATGCGCCATACCTAGTCCTCAGAACGCTTCACTTGTGATCTCCCCTCTCTCTCTCTTTCTCTCTCTCTCTCTCTCTCTCTCTCTCTCTCTCTCTCTCTCTCTCTCTCTCTCTCTCTCTCTCTCTCTCTCTCTCTCTCTCTCTCCCTACTTACCGCGATGAACAGTCAGACGATTGTGCCGTCCGTGCCCACAGCCTCGCCTTTTATACCCACGAGCAGCTAAGCATTTCCATGACTGATGGGCACGGTACTTCCTCTCCCCTCCTCCTGCCCCTCCTCTTTTACTTCTTCTTTTCCTCAATAAGTAGGTCAGCAATAACTCTTCCGAGATCTCTCAGTGTGAAGGATATTGTGAAGAAACAATGGGATGCAAGTTTGTTTTTCTCCGTCGTCTTCAAAAGGTAAAGGAACAAGTGTAGGAAAGGATAAAAAAAGATAAAGATTCATTCGATGCGAGATAATGCAGAATAAAAATTATTATTTTTTTTTTTTTACGCATGTTTAGTTGATAAGTGTGTACGTACTTGCCAGAAGGAGAGATAGATAGATAAAAGGAGGGAGGGAGAGAGACAGAGACAGAGAGGGAGAGAGAAACTCCTGACACCCCATTATCACTCCACAGTCTGCCTCACACTGGTGAGATCTGGCCAGGGATAGTAATGATAGAGGCAGATAGATAGACAAACTGAGAGAGAGGAAAACATACAGACATAGACTGACAGACTGAGAGAAAGGGAAGGGGGAAAGAAACAATAACAAAGTGTGAAAGAGTAAAAGCTAGAGCGAGAGAGAGAGAGAGAGAGAGAGAGAGAGAGAGAGAGAGAGAGAGAGAGAGAGAGAGAGAGAGAGAGATCATCATTATATTTCCAAACGTGTTATTTACACTTCAAACAAAACTCGAGTAATTTCACCGCATTTCCCCACTCTTCGCTTGCACCCACGGCCCTTGCAACACGCCTGCAGTTGCCCATCCGCGCTTCCGATTCGCAAGGAAGAACGAGCCCCCCCCCCCCGCAGGTGTAGCAACCCGCTTACTCATCCCATCCTCTTGGCACCGTGCCAGTGCCTCCTGCAGCGCTGACCTTGGGGTTTGCATAGGGAAGGGAGGCCCTGTGTAGTATGGGTCTGCGTGTGTGTGTGGCTTCTTGAATTGGGTTTTTGGGCGTTGAAGGAGGTCTGCGTGCACACACACACACACACACACACACACACACACACACACACACACACACACACACACACACACACAGCACACACACACATATATACACACATATTTTTCACCCATTCTTATTTCTTAACAGATTATAGGTACATGTTGTAATTCTTGCATTCTCCCCATATACGCACATACAATAGACGAGAAATGTACATTGTGTTTATGTATGCGTGTGTGCGTATGGGTGTCTGGGGCGAGTACCGTTGCAATGCATGAAGATTAAACTGTTTTCTGTTTTCTTATATCAATAACCAGTCTTGCAAGTGTTATTATTTTCAATTGCAATCTTTATTTCTCACGCCATTTTGATTCCAGATTTTTTTTTTTTTTAGCAGTTATCACAAATTATCAATAGTAATTTGACGCATTTAACCTATTGATATTATCATCATATTCGCAGATATCTCAAAAATAAAGAAAATTAAAATAATCAAAATCGACAGTAATTAGATGTATATTATATTCTATACTGCAATCAACTTAAACATTCTAGTTTTCTGTTGTTTGTTTGTTTTTATAATCATTCGATATCAATTTATCGACCCGATCTATGGCGTGCATTTCCCGTAGAGTTTGCAAGTGTTCGAGAACCTTTTTTTGATTTACTGCTATGATCGTTATAATTGATATCCATTGTAATGACTATCAAAACATTAAATGAATGATTTAATATCCTCTCTCTCTCTTCTCTTCTGCTCTTTCTCTCATCTTCTCTTCTCTTCTATATATATTAATATATATATATATATATTATAATATATATATTATGTTGTATCATACTTTTTAATAAACGTATTTAAGGTATGATAAAAAATGAAGGATAGATCAGTCAAGTCGTAAATAGATATATAGAAAAATAGATGATGGAAAAATTGCAGACACACATAAAACAGAAGAATCATAGAAAAACATGAATAATAAAATAAAACAAAGAGAAAGAAACAGAAGAAATACATATGAAATAAAGAAAAAAATGGAGGAAGAAACAGTTTTGAAGGAGAAAGGGGATCCGGCAGCGGTATCTCAGGCCCAGCAACCCAGCCTTATGTTGGTTACAACCTGCAGTATCAATGCCGCAAGGCTAGGAT